CTTTTGTGAACTTATGCATCCTTGACATCCTTCCTTTTCAATAGGGCCATGTATACGGGGAAAAATAAATAAATAAATGAAACGCGAACTGTACCATTTATACGAGCATGTCTTATCTAAGACGAGAACAGCTCGTATAAATGGTTCGCGTCTTATTCCTGTTCTTGACTCGTTTTCATGTGGATGTTACCCGTAGCAACGGCAATCCAACGTGGCGCGCCAAAAATTAACGCATGCGTACAATGCGTTCGCGTCTTATGTAAGACGCGAAGGTCATTTATACCGAGTTTTTCTCGTCTTAGCTAAGACGCGTGATCTAAGAACAGGTGTTAAGGGCTGTTCTAAAATAAGACGCGTCTTAGCTAAGTCGCGTCTTATTTTAGACAAAATGTGCCGTTTATACGGAAAGTTCGCGTGTTATTTAAGACGCGTCTTATTTTTCCTCGTATAAATAGTCCTAATGTTTCGTGAAACCAAACGCTTTAAGTAAAGAAAATTTTTCTTGTTTTTGTGTTTACCTTAAACAGGGTTTCTCGCCTCTTATGACTTAATACATGCCCCCCTTGTTGTCAACTGATCTGACATTCGTTCACTTTTGTTCCCCGATCCAACCTTTTCCTTAAGTCCTATCCAGCTCTCCGTTCCTGTTTTTACACGTAAATAGCGAGAATAAGGCCAGGTTCCATCCCTCTTCACGTGGGGATAAAATATTCAGGCAACAAACCGTGCAGAACAATTGCAATTCTTGCTATCGAATAACACATTTCTTTAATTTGTCGAAAACTTATAAGCACTGTTTCGAAGAAGTCGTTTTCAATGTCAAGTTCGATTTCGATTAAACTCGGCTAGCCTAAACATCTAACATTTGTCTTCTTGCAACTTGCAAGGATGTCAGTTGTACTAGAAGCGGTGAAAACAAAAGCACTTATAGTGTTATGCGTCTTTCTCATTCTTGAAAGAGTTTCGGCAAGTGGCTGGGTATTCTGAAGTTAGACAGTTCACTAGAATCATTCTAGAATCCCAGAATATGGAATCAATTGCGCGCGCGCGCGGGAGAAAGCACAATGTTAAGGGTTTTAAATAAATTAATTTCAGACATTTGTGCAGCAGATGTTTCCGTAGTGTAGTGGTTATCACGTCCGCCTAACACGCGGAAGGTCGCCAGTTCAAGCCTGGCCGGAAACATATTTTTTTTTCTATTTTTCTCTCAAGTTTTTGGTTTGCTTGTCGTTCTGCTTTCACTCTGTTTGGTTCCATTTTTTGCCAGCAGACCCATACGAGCTTCTACATACAGGCTGACGTACTTGCTTTGGTACCCTGCCTCACTCCACCATAAATTTTAATGTTTTGCGTTAATAGTATTAAAAAAGTCTTTTAAAAAACAATCACATATTAAAATGTGTGATCTCCTTTTCGTTGAATATTTGCCATGGTAGCTAGCAACCCATCACCAGTGGGTCTTACCAGAAAGATGTCGTCTGGGGTTATACCCTGGGTGAAACCATTCTCATTCTCCCCCACCTTCCACTCCCCCCGCCCCAAAAGTCGGCTCATTGACTGGTCAGCTGCCCTCCACTATACTCTTAGATTAACGGGCTAAGGAAAACAGGGATACATACAAGAGGGGATGTGGAAATTAGAGGCAATAGAGCGCACGGTAAGTGTTCCTGTTATTACGGACATATTCAGCTTGTACCCAGCTGTTGTCCTAGCCGGTACTTTTAAAAAAACACCAATATATTTTGTTTCAGATATGGTTCGGGGAGATTGCCTTATGAAAGATTGTAGCAGTTGAGAGAGATAACTGGCAATAGGCTGCTCACATGTTTTTGCCTTTGGGGGTGTTCAAGAAGAAACCCATACATGCAGATATCACTCAGGGTGGTGGGAAAAGAATCAGTTAAACAAAGAAAACCAAAATCTTACCTTGGTGGGGAGTACTTCCTAGTAGGCTAATGGGTAATGGGGATGTGCTGTGCTGCTGGGTGGGGTTGCATTTTCACGGCTGGATTGCATTGATAAACGACTAAAATGGGATAGGGGTTCTGAGAGGCCAGTGGCACATGCCCAGCAAAAATTAACCCAAGTTACCCCCCCCCCCCCCCCCCCCCGCCCCCCGGAACGCACCCCAAGTGTACCAAACCCTCTCCCCATTTTCAATTCAAACACAAAGAAGAAAAGAAAAGCAGCAAAACAGACGACCACAGCCTACGTCACCAGCCAGCCTCCTCGTACATAAAAAAACAAGAACACAAGAAATAACCCAGAGGTGTCAGGGAAAAATAATAGATAAAAAAACAAAAAAAAACCCTCCGTGTTGGGGGGGATGCTCTGGAGTGGGAGAGGGGGGTGGGGGGGGGGGTTGTGGCGGGGGGGGGGGCGATTTTTTCGGCGGGGAATTAGGTATAAGCAACCAAAAAAGGGTGAGGGGAGTGTAGGGGCACGGGGCCCCGCACCCAAAAAAATAACCCCCATTACCCCCCCCCCCCCCCCCAGAGTGGAAGACTGCATTGACAGCATTCAATTTCAACATCCTTTTGCACATTTAAAACACAGCTGTTTACAAACCCCACTTTACGGATGCCCACTTACTACAGACACCCCTTTATTACAGACAGTTTGCTTTGTACCTGGGAAAAGAAAGTCTTCACATTTTTTTTGTTCTGGAAATTTGTTGCCTGTATTAGTATACTCTCCTTAGGGCCCGCCAATTCAAGCCTGAGTTATGCCTAGAATGGTCTCTTTTAAGATGGATTTGATGTTGAATTTCTGATCAGCAATCCTGCACCTTTAATAGGGGAGTCACATCCCTGCAAGGGATATGGCCTGTTTCAATAGACCTTTTTACCGATATGGCGGCCATATTGAATTAATTTGATTTAAGGAGTATTATAGGATGCCCAGGGGGCATGAGCACATTTTGTTTGTATTTTCGAGTGCTTTTCGGGTTATTTTTTCTTAAAGTTTTCTTAGAAAAGATTGTAATGGGAAAAAGATCCTTGTACTGTGTTTGGATGTAATAATGATTGCCATTTTCTAGTTTAGTATTAGAAATATGGTCTTTCACTGTATATTTCTCGGGAGAAAGGTGATCATTATCACACCTAAACATGGCACAAGGATCTTTTTTCCCATTAGAATCTTATTCTAAGAAAACTTTAAGAAAAAATGTCCCAAAAAGCGCTCAAAAATAGAAACGAAATGTGCTCATGCCCCCTGGGCATCCTATAATACTCCTTAAATCGAATTAATTCAATATGGCCGCGCTATCGGTAAAAAGGTCTATTACTATTGTAGTGGTACCAAAAAAATGCTGAGCTTGCTTGAATGTAGCATGACTGTGGCACAACTATACCATGACTATTCCATGACTGTAGCTTGACTGTTGCGTGACTAAAGCACGACTTCTTTGGTTTCAGACATCAAATGAAATTAGTAGAACTAAATGGTTGTTCCTTAAAAACAATAGCATCAAAATTTCTTAAAAAACTGATAATTTTAGTATGGCAGTGAAGACCAACAACAGCTCGTTGTTTGAAATGATACGGAACTCGATCTTTCAAATGGAATGGTTGGAAGAGGCTAAAAGGCTATGGGAAAATGAAGTTTACAAGAGAGAAGTACTATACTGAAAGCAGATAAGGACACTATTACTGAGTGCTCAGTGTACCCAGACTTGTTATCCAGTGGTCGTGGGTTCATTACACTCTTAACTGTGTTGTTTCTCAATCATTCAGAATTGGGCACTTTATGCCAAACTTGTTAATAGCCAACTTCACTGGTCTGTCCTGTGCAGTGGGATTTCTGTTCTTGTGGTGTTTATTTCATCTATTTTGTGATTGTCATTTGCTTCATGATGTGACTGGTCATGCGCTGTATTATAAACACTGTGCATGCTGAGTTAGGTAAAGACTGTTGTTATAATTAATATTATTTTTTATTAATTTGACACAATTCCTAGGGGCCAAGGACATGTTCCTGTCAATTTTCTCACCTTATAACTTCATAGTTATATAATTTACATTCAACAGAAGTGTTAAGCATTGATATTTGTTCTTTAGTCAAACGAAATTTTTTTGAAGAACAGGACTCAGCAAAATTCAGTTCCACTGCTCTCCTTTTTGTGAGCTTAGATTTATTCCAAGCTGTATTATATTGTTTGCAGTCAACAAATGTAGTTTTAGCACTAGGATCATTAAGAAGATAAGGATGCTAAATTATATAAGCAGTCTTTAATCTCTTCTCAGTAGACATAGTTATGTTGTCACTTTTGCATCACCCATAATATAGTCTGCATAGCAAACGTTTCTACTAGAGTTATTGCACCAAAACTGGAATGATGGCAAAGAAATAAAAGAAGGGGGAGGGGGATGGGAGAGAAGTTTTTGCACAATAACTCATGTGGAAACGCTTGCCATACAGGCTGCGTGTAATACACCTTTTTACTCCCAAAGTGCTGCATAAGCACTGGAACAACTGTAATATCCAGAAGAAACTGAAACATTGGTTACACATTTTGGGGGGAATGGGTGGGCAGGTGGCAAAGAAGGTTTGTTGTGGGTAATGCAAAAGTGGCGAACGCGGGAAACATTTGAACACATGTCAAAAGAGCTTTCCCTTGTGAGCTGTGCATGTCTTTAACCTTGATCTCACAGCCTGGTTGCATAAAGCACTGACCTTAAGATTAATAATTCAAATTTTCTGCAACCTTTCCATCCGGTACCATGGGATTTTTTTGCACAGCATCATGGATAACTTTGATAATCTTAGATTAACAGGTATAGGAAACTTGAAAATACAAGGGAACAGGAGAGAACAGTTGCAAAAAATCGCACTTTTAACGTCTTTAGGCAACCAGGCCGAGTACGTTTAACCCTGGAAATAGGGGCCTATGCCTTCCAATTTACAAGGAAAAACATCCGAGGGATAAGGTGTTCTTTTTGCAGGAGGTGATTGCCACACACACTTTCTTGAACTCTCTGGGTATTTGCACTTGCTTCCTAGTCATCTCCATCATCTTTGAGAACGTGAAATCCGCTTAGTGACCTTTCCTCCATAGCATTCCTGATCGACAGCAATACACTTGACACAACAGCCAATCCAATTGTGAAGTAGATAATGCTCGTGATCGTGAACATCAACACGTGTGTAGTGTAACCCTCGGGATCACGATTAGGGGACGGGTGCAGTGGGACAAAGTCTCCAAAGCCAATGGTTGTCAGGGTTATAAAACCGAAATATACCCCATCTATATAACGCCATCCTTCCAGGTAACAGCCGAACAATGCAATAGTTAAAATCATCAAGACACTTATCATCAGTGTAATGGCAGCTGATTTAATTTCAATTCTCGATGGTTTCCGTTTGAGGACCCGCTCGTGACAACACTCTAGGGCGAGGCCTATCCAATGATTGATGTGTTGTGCCAGCGTTGACAGCATTAACCATGTCAATGGTATTCCAACCAAGGCATACAGAATGCAAAATATGCGACCTCCGTCGGTGCATGGAGTCACGTGACCGTAACCTAGTAATTAAAAAAGGCAGTTACTTTTGAACCATTGAATTTCTGTAGCATCATGAATGGGCACGGTCACATGGGACAAACACACCTATGGTAATCGACGCAGTTGGGGCAAGAAAAACAAAGAGGTTACATAAATAAAACACAAACAGCGGTGATAAACATTGTGAGCTTTCACATTTTTCTAAACTTGCCGTTTCGTATGCTATTCAACATACATTTTCAAAAGTGATCTAAAGTGACCGTTGAAGATAATGACGAGACTATATCTAGCCGATGTTTTGAAAACCAACCTAACGGAATTTGCATTTTGAGTCATTTTGGGTGAAAAGGCGTCAAAATACACGTTTCTTAAGTCCGAGAAGCTCCAAAATCATAGTAACAAAGGAAAAAAGAAAAGGAAAGAGCCAGGAGAAAGAAAGGAGGAGAAGAGAAAAGAGCAATTTGCACTCTTAGTTTTTATAATAGCTACTTTTGGAGGTTTTTGGCCGAAAAAAGCTGTTCGACGCAAAAGGTCCATTTATTGATAACGTTATCAAAAATCCGGCTAGATATATTTATATATATATATACATATGATGTAAATTACATCATTCAAAAAGTTACAGTACCCTTTCTCTTCAAGTTCCCACTGCCTCGTTTGCCATCTAGCAAGGTGTTTTTGTGGGAAGACTTTGTCGTTCTGTTTGGTTTACAGGCACTTCAATCAAATAACTTGACATATAATACTAGAAATACGTGCCTTGCAGAGTCTCGCAAAACTCAGGGAAAGGTCAAGCCGTAGGAAACAAAGGGAATACGCGCGGTGGTGTCGGTGCATGACTCATCAATGTAACAGATCTGTAAGTTGAATGTTGTCAACCGATAACGCTGGTTCTATTCCTTGCTCCGAGCGTTTTTTCTTCGGGTACTCTGGTTTCCCCTCTCCTCAAAAACTAACATTTCCAATTTCAAATTCGACCAGGAATGGTAGCTGACGAAGAACCCCTGCGTGGATGTGCTACCTCTAAATCGTAATTACATCGCTATCGACCGAAAAGCAACTACCTCAAGCGGAATCTACTTTCGCCCTTTCATATTTTACAAAGGGAATGTAAGGGAATTTGTAATAAATGAATGCATTGATAACAATGGAGTATTTCCAAGAGAATCTATGGCAACCCTGTGCAGACTGGCGGGGTGGTCAGAGAGGCCAGGCACATCAAGGAAGTATTCGAACGTCATATCGATGGTAACGCCTTCCTTTATCGGTAAGACAAGTCAGAGAAAAAGTTTCTAGTAACTTCGAATGAGGATGAGGAGATGGTTACGAAGTGAAAAAGTCTTAAATGAAAGCATTGATAAAACGAGAACGTCTTTATAATTAAAAAAAAAAAAGAACGCGTTTTATGCTATCCATATCCATCTAATTGAGCTACTGTAGAGGTTTCATTTCCTGTTTTTTTTCTTTTTCTTTCACAAAGACTTGAGAGAAAGCGACAAGTGCAGGCACTTGAAGAGTGTTCAGTCTTGTTACAATTATAGACTTGTCCGGCATGGAGGACTGCGAAATGGTAGAGCGATCAGGATTATCTTAGTAATTTTCGCGACGATGTGTGGGATGCAGTATTTTGGAGGCCAAGAGATGTGCGTTAAATTGTCTTGTTCATAGCTGCAAAGTATTTTCCGTGGGATGTCACCAAAACGGGGAATAGTGAGAGCGGGGAACCAACGCGGGGAACGGGAAAATGAAAAATGGGAACAAAACAGAGAATTGGAAATAAAATTGCTGATAGGGCTAGGGTTCAAGGTTGGTTTTGTTTTCCGATTTTTCATTTTCCCATTTCCATGCTTGTTCCCCGCTTTCCGTTCCCAGTTTTAGTAACACCCGTTTTCCGCGTGCATATTAAGGACCTTACGATCCGACAACGGCGACGTCCATGAAAACGTCCCTGAAAAGTAGACTTCGCATCCTTTCAAACCATTTCGCGATTTTCCAGAGTCGCCCAGTTACTTAAAAGAAGGGAATTTATGTTGGAGCTGCAGAGAGAGGGCAATGCCCAAGTTCAGACAGAGATGGTAGAATTTATCGCCTTGCCGTTCGCGTCCTCAAAAAAACTTAAAATTTGGTCATTTCACGTCGTAGTCGTGCAGGGACGCCGAAGAAATGTAGAAAAAAGCGTGATGCACGTGCAAAGTTACCGTTGCCGTCGCCTTCGTTGTTTCGTAAGGTCCCTATTCTATCATTTGGTCAGAATGGGACTGGGACTCGGACTCGGGGCAGCGAAATGTTGAGTCGAACCCGACGACCACTAGTCGACACTGCCTCCAGGAAAAGGCGGTCAACAGATCATTCTGATAAAATCGCGCGCGAAATATCTGCGATTAATAAAACCCAACTAGTGGTCTATTATCAATGCTGCGTTCTGATTGGTTGAGCTACTACTAGGCTATATGTTATAGCCCACTAGCAGCGAAAAGCGCCGGCTTTGAAAACCAAAACAATGGCGGCTGAATCGCATTTTGCTAGCTTAAGTTGTTTTGCCTTAATATAATCGACCGACTAGTTGGATTTTACTAAAACAATTATTCCTCTCACCGCTCATGGCCTCTGACTCAATAGCCCATTCGGCCTTCTACCTCATGGGTTATTGACTCAGAACGCATTCGGGCTTGAGGAATAATAAGTTGTCAATTATCCATGTGGGGACTTGCCAAACTATTTTTTGGCCCTTTTATTTGAAAGGACGGCTTCCTTTGCAATTACGTAACACTAACAAAAGAAACTTCCAGAAAAGAGACAATAAATAAAAAAAATTCTAGCAGCCTACAATTTCTAAAATTGTATTGATTGAAATGAAATTATATTATTTAACTATTTTCCGCCCACATTCGATATTCATCATTTTCTTTGATTTAACGATCACAGATGAATAGTAAAAACGTGCAATAAATGGAAAACGAATAAAAGTTAATGTGTTTGTAACATCATTTTCCAGCTGAGACTGAAATTGGTCAAATTCAGGTTTGATATTAACAGACATGCTATTTGTCACCAGTCGATAGGGGTTTCCCCTTGTCTATAGACTTTTCGTCGTCCTTGCTGGTAAAAAAGGATAAATAGATATGAGATGACGAAAAACAGTTGTCTCCGTTTTTAAAAGAAGCGTCAAAATAAGGCAATGATGGGGTTTCGTATGCGTCACGCTTTTTTGTTTTTTCTTTATCACTTATATATCTTTTAGCATATCGAGGCGTTTTCCTGGGTATGAATAGAGTAATCTTGACGGGGGTTCTCTGCTTTAAAGAGCATCTGCAATTCCTCCTGTTTTTCTCGGCCTTTAATTTAATCATCAGGGAAATTAAAAGAAGAAATCAGTCCCTAAGAATCGCCAAAAAGAAGGTCTTCAAAGTGATTCGAACATCACAAGTGTGATCATACAATCTAGTCCACAACTTTGGGAGGACACGATTAGAGTGGGCTCCTATGCTTCCGAACTGTGATACAATACTAGCTCTTAATTTAGCAATCACGGTTACTTGATCTTTAAAAAATATGCTTTGAAAATTTGATGTTACTTCAACTCGTTGGGACTTCCAAGAAATTATCCGTCGTATCTCTCATCACTGAATTCAATTCAGCTCTGAATTGTGAAAATTGTATGTAGCCTATTTGTTAAAATATCTTATATTCAGTTTCCAACTAGAAACAAAACATTTTTGTTACTTAACAATTAAAATTCTACAATCTTAGTTCTTGCTGCGTTTCGTTGTCAGGGTCGATTGATACTTTTGCTTTTAGAATGGAGAAAAAATGCTAAGCGGAAAGGAAGGCGCGCTTCAGATTATTTAACATTTTCATTAATCCTTTGAGTTGCAAAGTTTTCTTTCGAAGGACGTTACGCCAGTATTCGCGCATTTATTGACGTTTATGTCATCTTTTTTCTTTTAACGTATGATAATATATTCCTATGTTGAGAGAAAAATATAAACTGTAAATTTTGAAAATGGATAAACAATAGGCTTGGCGTGAACAGGGTTGTCACTAATATCCGAAAGATTTCAAAAAATTCGTTCAGCATTGGTTTTCGCACCTGTCAAAATTAGCACGCCATTCTGAATCCTGTACTAAGTTCCCCTTGAGAAAAAATGAACAGAAAATGTTTGACATAACAAAGCAGCCATAATAAGGTAGCCATAGTATTTTTCTGAGCTGTCATATAAATTTTCATATAAATTTAGTGACAGATGGTCCAATTAATCACAATCCCAAAGGTCATTGAAAGGTACTTCTCGATAACGAGACTTTGCCCAGCTCAAGCCTTATTGAAAAGTATTGGGGAGTATTGCGGATATAATTGAATTAGCTAGAGCCAATATCCATAACAACAACTTTAATCTTGTTCCTTTGCGGAAGACGCCAAACCTTGCTCAATTTGTTATTTTCGTTCGGTATAAAATATATTTCATTTAGTAAAGTGGTGTGTGTGCACATTGACTCCAACAAGCCTCGTAAGAAGTCTATATCTCTCAATTTCCATTAAGTAGCCGCATTGAATATTTAACGAAATATTCTACAACTATACGTTATGGTAAATACGTTCTGTGGTCAGGCTCTGAATTTCCAAACTATCTCCAAATATTCATCTATTTTCTTCAATATTCACTGAAAGGTATAGGCTTCTTGTTTTACTTTTTGACAGACGGGATATACATGTATGTATATGTTTGACGCCATGAATTTTATTTCTGAGCTTCCGTGGGCAGCTGTGCACTGCAATAGATTTTGATTGAGAGGTTTTTTTGGTCTTTACTTGCGAGACATTTCCCAGACTGTCATATATACTTTTAGATTATTTGGTTTTCCAAAATAATTATACGAAAAAAAAAAAGGAGGAAAAATATGCAGATTAATTTATCGATATTTGCTTGTCTATATTAGTAACCGGTCTTTTTAAACTTAAATTTATTTTTTGTTGTTGTTGGGTCCAATTTTTTCCTTCTTGGATGAATACTATGGAACAAAGTTCGTACCGTGATCTGCCAAATGAACATCCTACAAGGAGTAAATTGTATAATAAAACGAGGAAACCCCATTGAGTACATGCAAAAAAGACGCTAAAATGGGTTTCTAGCTTTGTTTGAAAACCCATTTAGCTAAGCCTCTGTTGAATGAATACTTTAAATGCAAAATAATGCGTTATAAAGGAGAATAAAGAAGGTCCTCAATTTGAGAAGAAACTTTTCAATTAATAAGGTAAATAGACTAACCGAGGAGGACATTCAGTGCGCGTTTCAATCGACCTTGCACGGCCTTGTTTGAGGTGAACTTCTGCTCTAATTGTTGGCAAGCAATGGCGTGTAAAATAAGATTTATTACCTCCGAAAAATAAGTTGCTTACCTATTGTGGTAACAACTGTTCCAGCGAAGAAAAGTGAGCCAAGGATTGTCCATCGCTTCACCCAGTCTTGGCTAAAACCATGATCAACAATCTCTTCGATTTTGCTGATAAAGAGTTTCATATCATCATGAGAAATGTTGTACTTTGCTTGGAATTGATTTCGTGCGACAAGCATTGCCTCTCGTTCTTCTTCTTCATTTTGCAATTCTAATGCTTGAAAAATGACAGCTCCCAGGAAGATGTAAACCAAAAATACTGCTATCTGTATGACTAGATTTCTGGAGCCCTCTGCATGCCACATGGTCGATATTCGCACATTAAACAACTTTTCCTTCTTAATACTACTACAAAGGCTTTCCTGATCGACTTATCTTCATAGCTGTTCGCGCTTACGCGTCCTCAAGGCCATAAATCACAGATGAACCTGATGCTTTTTTGGTTGAAAACACTAAACTTAGCTCTCTAATTTCCTGCCAGAGTGCTACGTATGCACTGCCATTCTTCTAAAGGTGTCTCCCAATAATTAAGCGTCCTACGGGGGCAGTTCAGGGACCTTGTATTCGATAGAATAGCGGAAATGTGAAGGTACAATGACTTGCGCCTTAGGCGTTATCTATAACTGCGTTCGGGAAGGTAAATTACCGGCCATCGGAACCCAGTTACTACAAAGAACGCATGCGCGTGCGTCCCACGCGAATTCAAAAATGACATCAAATTTTTAATTTTCACCGCGCAAGGTGGTATTAAATATTCAATGTTTTAAATAACGTATTTATATTTTCTTGCAATTCAAAGCCTCCTAATCTATTTTCTCAATGAAATCCTGTCGCGAAACGAAGTTTCCCACTGTTTTTTTTCAAGGGGTCAAAAGTAGTGGAAACGGCGAAGTCGTTCGTGTTGGAAAGAGAACCTTTCGCACACAGATTTACTTCAGCTTATTTGAGTTGTGGTTTTGTGTACAGTCTAAACCCACTTAAAAAATGTTCGAATTTAGCCTCTAGGCATTGCATTAGTTTGTTCTAAAACTTTGTTTTCGCTGTCCATTTAATAGGGAGGCAATAATCATAAAGCACATTTGATTCCTTCCTGACCTTAGAGTCAAAATTGTTAAAGCCTGTAGTCTCACAAACATCAAATTCGAACCTTATCTCGAACTGATCAAAGCAACATCGATACTTTATTAGTCATTCGGAAAAAGCCACAATCGCAATTTTATATTTAATGGTAGTTTTCACTTCGAAATGAAAAACAATAAAATGTGAATGATGTTTTTTTTTTCAGGCAGTCGTTACTGATAAGCCAACTCTGAAAAAATCCGAGTTCATTCCCAACAGGAGTCGAACCTATGACCTTCTTGTTTATAATTTGGATGCTCTACCTCTGATCCTCAGGAGACCCGCTGGGATTAAGGCCATTAAGCTAGGTTTAAAATATATATATAAATAAACCGCAGCCCATGAATTTAAAATTCATCTCTAGAGACCCACGCATCATGCATACATAATGAGGCTTCTATTTACAGTGAAACTGTAAGAATAGCTTCTTTCAAAGAGTAGGCACGTATTTCACATTTGTCCCAGAAATTTGGATTTTCCAATTGGATGCATATTTTTTTAAAAAAACAAACTAATATCTGTAAAAAAAAAAAAAAAAAAAAAATAAAAAAAAAAGAGGAAAAATGAGGGCAGCAAAAAGAAATAAAAAGTAAATTACAACGGCTCTGCCAAAAATAATGGGGTTTTAATTTAAAAGGAAAAAGTAAAAATTACTTTTTTCAAAGAGGAGGCACTTATTTAACATTTGTCCCAAAAATTTGTATTTTCCAATTGGATACAAATTTTTTAAAAAAAAAAAAAAAAAATTTTAAAAAAAAAAAAAAAAAAAAAAAATATAACAAAAAGAGTGGAAATGACGGCTGCACATAGATTTACAAAGTGTATTACCTCTGCTCTGGCAACGGCCTTGAATTTACATGGGAAAACCGGACATTCTGGTAGGAAAATCAAACGGTTCGCGCCATTTTGTTTGGGAAGCTTCAAAAAACATGGGCTATGATTTGAGGGGATGCAATTTTCTACTCTTTTTAGTCTGTTCAGCTGATTTGGATATACATTGTAGTGGGTTGTTCTTTCCACTGCGTCAAATTTTATAGTTTTACGGTTATGCACAATGTATCCAGCCGGTCCACCCGGGTGGTTTTTGTAAATGGTACGCACCCAGGTCTCTTTGGGTTTTTCCCCTTCTTTGGATATTTTATCTTATGCTATCAGTGATGTTAGACTCGTGCGCTTAAAAGCAGTAAATAAGCGATGAGGAGACATCTAGCCATATAAAGGTTTAGTTTTCAGTAGAGTCGTCACATCTTCTTGTTTGTGTGTCAGCCTATCGAGTAATCGTTACAGATTGAAAATAAATCAGGTTTGTAAGATTTCAAAACATACATTAGGTGATGGAAATGGGTAGTGTTTCTAATTGGTTGAAGCAAATTTTCAACCAATCAGAAGCACTACCCAGTAGTGACACGTCATAAAACCCAAATGGTCAATTTGAAAGAAAAAACAAGCCTTTAAACACCAAAACCACACATTTTTAGATCAAAACCCAAAAAAGCGAGCTAAAAAAATGAAGAAAACCGAAAAAATCGAAAATCATAGTGCTTCATGCAATAGTCTCTGTCTGCAATGGGACGGAACAATGCCTCGGGCTTAGCTCCCTGTGGGATGAAATAAGGCTATTTTTTTGCAAACTAACTCGCGATAGCCTGTTCCAGGATTTCAGATAATAGAGCGCGGAGTTCAGATGGTGTGGAGCAAGTTAAATCGTACGAGGGGAAATTAACGGGAAGAAAAAACGAGGAGAATCAAATTTTGGCCAGCGCTCTACTCTGGATCAGGCTAAACTCGCAGAAGTGTTACGTTCTAATTCGCTTCGCTCAAACAAACGTAAATTATTTTCCTCTAAAATGTAATACATACAAAACAAACAACGCTATTTGATGGTTGGATGCTCAGGCATTCCAACCAAGTGAGAAATAACAAAGTAAAGCAGATAAAGGAAAAATATTATCGCGAAAAAGCTGATTATCATTGTCAGACTTGAAACGTTTCGAAGAACTCAGCTTTGACCTTTCAGGGTTTTTCCTCTTCTTTTCGCTGCATTTTTCGCTTTCTTGAGGCGTTTCTCGTCTTCGGAGTTTGAGGGGAGGTGGTCTGACTCATATTAGGGAGTTTAAGATACGGCGACTACGGACTACGGCTACGGATAAATATGCTACTGCGCATGATCAAAGCCACGTGACTGTTCATTTTTCCCGCGTAGTCCTGCGGCTACGGTGAGTTGTTGACCTGTTTCGCGTAGTGGGGACTACGGAGAACATTTTGATCGTATTTTGCCGTCTCGGTAATTCAAGAATCTCGTCTTTTCGTAAAAAAGTTTTCAATTCATCTGCTTTAAGTGAGAGGGAAGCAAAATATGTGAGTTGTGTCCAATTTCTGCTCAGATTTACGCTTTTATCCACTGTCGTGACTACATTTTTATCTAGCTAAGCTCATATTTAAATAAGCTAAGCTGTTTATACGCAGAATTCAGATTGACGGCCGAGGAGAAGAAAAATCATGCAGGTAATTTACTTTCTCTTTGCACTTGAGAAGTTTCAATGTTTGTTCCCCCCCAACGGATTAGTGTGTCTTTCTACTTGTGTAACATTTATTTATGCGAGTTTTTGTATCGCGCCATTTGCTGAATGAAAATGATGTAAATATCTTCGAGACAATCGAAACTCGGCATTTCGATTCTTCAAACTACATCAGATCAGTAGTCGGAGAAGTCCATCTTCTAAATCTAATAAATGAGCTATTACTATTTCTTTCTATGTCTTTAATATTTGACGTAAGTATTCATGAGCGAAAAAATAAAACCTGTGTAACCAAAACTTTGTTTACCAATTTCACCCGACGTAATTGCTTCCTTCAAGTATGGAAGAATTTGTTCATTGTTCTAAAGATAAGATCACATGCAAAACTGACTTGCATTTTTGTGAACTGTGATGAAAACAAGAAAATCTTTGCGCGTTGATTCCCTCTCCGCCTCTTCTCTCGTAGTCTACTGTGTGTAGTGCGATCTTAACGTTCTATATTTGCACGACTCAACCCAGTACTACAAACAAAGGACAACGCTCGTCCAGCCGTAGTTCGTAGTCCGTAGTCTCCGTATCTTAAACTCCCTATTCTTGAACACCCAACCAACCGTCCTTGCTGCAGTCCGCAATATTTATTAATTTCTGCCTCTTGTGAATAATCTGCTGAGCTTCCTGTACCTAGGTATTTACCTGACTTGGATTGTCAGCGCTAGCCTTAATTCTGGCCGAGAAAAGATTTTTCTAGCTTGGCGTTAACCTCGAATTGTTTCCCGTTACTGAATTTGAATTCCGAGGCGGACCTCTGTATTTTTGACTGACCTTCGAAAAGTTTGCCTTGTGCCTCGAGTTTAGTTTCAAGATATCCTTTAAACAAAGAAAGTACTTCATCAACCAGCTCTGAACTTTGAGGTTTAGGGTTCGCTGAAGGATCTTTAGGTTTCGATTCCTCTACAAATGACTCGGCATCAGACATCTCTGCGGTAAACGCCTCGGAAAGTGGAATGCGAGAGAGAGAAAGAGCGCATTCTACGCGGACCAATTTATGGTGTAGATTAACCAATCAGAAGGTGGCAGAGAGCCCTGTAGAGAATTGCAACATACCAGCGGAAAACACATTTACAGTAAACAAGTGAAGATTTCTGGATAGTGTGTTTTTTGCGTTTTTCATATGTTCAAAGAAATGCGAAAAAAAAACAAAAAAAAAACGGGCCTATGAAAGAAAAAAGTTGGGTCGAAAAACATTTCTTGTATGGCCGGAAAAAGAAACTTTCTTCTCGATACAACAAAACGGGTAGGGCAGGCCAATCTTTTTCCCTCGGTAGCCAATGAGAACACGCTTCATCTTCGAGCCATATAATTCAGTTACAAGATTTGTCACGATCTGCACAATTATTCTTATCACACTTAGCCTCATTCAAAAACTGTAAATTAACTTACTATTGGTTACACAATACAAAAATTCAAGTATTTCGCGTAATTAAATCAAAGACTTTATTATTAGGACTCCTAAAATAATTACGGAATAAATAAAAATAGAGCAGTATTTTATGTACATAATTTCAATTATTTAAAGTGCATAGATAATTTATTTGTCTGTTGCCAGTTTGAACGGTTTCAGTTGTCACCCTATCGTCGGTTGCCAGGAATTGAAACATTTCCTGGCG